CTTTTTTAATAACCAAGATTAATTTTATTATTCTCTTAAACACATGAAGTGAAATTTTGGCTCCAATGGAGTGAATGGGAATTTTGCCACTAACATCAACAGCCAAGATTTCACTCATGAACTGTTAAAACAGTTGAGACTACTATTTCTTTTTCCAGTTCAATTAATGACTCTGTACACGCATAACGGGGGGCCCCCCCCCCCCCCGCGCGGGTGGAATTAAAAATGTCTTCATGAATAGCCAGCAAAGAATGGTTCTGATGTTCAGCTATGTGAATCCTAGGATCTTCAAATTCTTTTGAAATGACAAAAGAAACATCTCCCTCCTCTTTACTCCCTCTCTCCCCCTCACCCTTTCACCCCCACAAAAGAAGAAAAAGAAATTAATATCCTTCATAAATAAAGAACCAGTTCTGCTCACATTTACTTAACACTAAATCTAAAAAAAAATATCTATAGAAATCTATGGATAAGTTCTGAGATTGTTCCCAGATAAACATGCAGCATGTGGCTCACTAATCAAATAATCAATAACGTTGATTCTATTAAATAAAACATCACTGTTAATGATAGTATTTCATCATTTTTGCAATTGAATTAAAATAGAAAAGTGATAAAAAAATGATAATACTATAAATAGATACATCCAATAAACACAGGATGTTTATCTTTACAAACTTTAATTACTATCCTAGGTTCTGTTTCAGGATGAAGTTTTCTACCAATCTGTTAAAATACCAAAGAGTGACTTTAACAAAGCTTACGTTCATGTTACATGCATATCTGGAAAGAGGAAATTAAATGCACTATAGAAAGCACATTCTGCAAAGAACAAGCAGTCAGGTCAGCATGCATGGTGCACTAGAAGTTTTGTTCTCTTTGACAGATCCTAACACGATAACAAAAGCCTGCCATTTTCTTCCCAATCAGAACGATGAAGTATCTGATTCTGGGCATAGTTTGCCTATGGTAAGAAGGAGCAAACAATACTGGAAATGACAACTGTGTTATCACAGTTGGAGTAGACAAAGCTGACTGATGGTAGCATGTGAGGTGGTGTATGTCATCGCAATTGTATCACTGAATGAAAAAAAAACATTTTTCATAGCAGTCAGAGCCTGAAAGACACTTCAGTCAAGGGAAAATAATTGGTTTACCTTTCTTCTCCTCTTGCTTCTTCACCGCAGCTGAAATGGAAACAAAAACAGTATTTTTTCACAACTGAATTTAATAACATGTAGTATAAGTAAAAATAACACAAACTTTCTAATATCTCAAAAATTACATATATTATGCAATATAGGAATAGATTTCTTTGGCAAAACAAGAAACTGATAATCAGAAATCTGATCTGTTTCCTCAGATTCCTGACTCTATGATTAATGAGAGCAAGATCCATCTTACCAGATTCTCACATTTTAGTAACAAAGTCAGCGTTCCTCTCAGACACTAATAACGGCAGATAAGAGGAGTAGAGTGAATAAATAAATGAGATGGAGTGTATTTCAGACTAGGAAGGCATGAATTAGAAAGAGACTAAAGGAATGGTATTATGAACCATTTGTGTCTTAAAAAAACCCAACAAAACAACAACATATGAAGACATGTTTGGTTTCTAATCTGCCTAAGACAGGAAATTGTAAGATCTGGGAAGGAACACAGACCACAAGGAAACTGTTGTATATTCCTTAGGTTAAGAAACCGGGAATCAGTTCCCCCAGAACAAACTGCTGCATGACTGCTATCCAATTTCTAGACCCAAAGAAAAAAGCCCCAAAAGCTCAACTTGGGGTTCCAATACAGAATCACGTTTATCCACAGGGAGTACAGTGAAAGTCTATCAAGATTTTAGTCAAAGGACTGAAACATCTGAAATAGGAGACAGTTACCTACATTTGCAGATTATTGCTCCAAACCTGATGGAAGTTAGCCAAACTTATACCTAAGTCCATCTGAATTCCATGTACTACCTATTTCCCAACCTTCATTTATAGAACCTTCTGAAAATTTAGTTAAGAATGCCAATTTATTTTGAAACTTATCTGCTAGGATAAGTGTAGTGAGCCCTGCCTTAGGCTAGCATTTGCTGGCTATGGAAGACAGAAGAATTCAAATTTGTAGCTCTTAAACCCCTAAAAATTGTACCCAGCAACAAACTGTCAATGCAAATGGATCTGCTGTGGTGCTGAAGCTGGAAAGGAAATTAGCAGAAGCATTGCTCTGCCCTTCCTTTGGAGAATGGGCCCAAGAAATCAAGGGTCATGAGGTCGGAGGAGAGAGCAGGCATTCTCTCAAAGGTTTGCATTTTGAGTTTCAGAGCTGATCTCTTCCTTTTCAGTGTTCTTAAACTAAAAAGCTACTATTTTTCTACTTTTTGTTTGTTTGTTTGTTTGTTTGTCAGTGTATTTGGTTAAAATAGAGAAAAAAGGAAAAGCCTGAACCTGAAATTACTGAAATGCTATTTACAAATGGCTTGAGGCAAAAATGAAGTAGATTTTAAAGATTTTTCATGCTGTTGGCCTCTTATTCTACTTTGAGAATAAAACAAATGTTTACTATCTCAGGAATGTGTCCAGGAGTGGAAAAAAATTTAATGTCTAGAATCAGTAAAGAATAGGCACAAAGATTCCAGGATTGGTCTTCTTTGTAATCACTTTTCTTTCATGGGTGACATGTGCATCAAACCCATGAAGTGTGAATTTAGTATAACTGTCATTTCAGAGGATTTAGTATTTTTTCCCCAGAAGCTGCTATAGAAGCCTCAATGGCTCTCAGAAAGCTTTTTACTAATTAATTTCTGATCTACAAAGACCAAAAATTTAGTATGCCATTAAATCATGTGGTGGCACCTGTTTGAATTTTCACCTTGGCCATGATTTTTCTGGTGGCATTCACTGTAAATACTCAACAAATCTTAAGACTAACTACTGTTGCCAGTAGCATTGCTCTGATCAAATCCTATTATTCAAACTTATAACAATTAGGAAAAATTGAAAAAGAGGACAAATAACACCATTCACATGACTCTTTTGGAAGATGAGCAATGTGTTAGTAACTGAAATGCAGAAAAAAGGGATGGATAGATCAGTCAAAGAATTTGGTCTAAAAATGATAAAAACTTGTTTACCTGCTGAGAACAAATGTAATATATCATAGTGAAGGACATGAAATAAAGTAGAATGATGAACTAGAGAAGATGATATTCAGATACCAGAGATGGTCTTAAGTGTATTCTTTTTTAATGTTGTTTGGAGTAAGAACAAATTTCTATGCTGTTTCTATGCTATACTGATGATAGTTATTACCTATTTCTTGAATTAGGAATTTGTACCTACAGATCATGATAAAATAAGATGCCATTAACAATCATAAATGACAGTGACTCTAGCCAGTCACTGTTTTTTCTTTCCCAAGCTTATTCAATTTCAATCATACATTTCCAGTTCTTATCACTGTTATACAAAGAAAAATGTTTATGAGGGAAACAGCATGAACGGGAAACACCCCATTTTTTCAGGGATAATGAATCCAGAATAACAGTCAGTACATAAACCAAAAATCCTCACAGATTCAGAATGGATATATTGTATTTAACTTGGATCAGAAATTTAAATTTGAATCACCAGCAGTCCTCTAATTCCACAGACACGGGTGGTTCAGAGGGATTTATTCCTGAGCTTAACAGAAATACTTTTTAAAAATCTTGAAAATGTCTTGTAAGCACCATTTCCTATTCAACAATAGTCTGATCCTTGTGGCTTGATATCCCAGCAGTAGCCAGGAAGTAATATTTAGTTTGAATACTGTAAAATAAATGATTCTTCCATGAATTCTACTTTTCTTTTAGAAGAAATTGATTTCCATCCTGAGGCACGAAATTTAACTTCCTTTCTAAATTTAAAATAATTAATTATGAAAAGTTGAGCTATGAAAACTGCTCTGCCATGTAAATATCTAGTTCCTCTGTGGTGTTTTTGAAGAGCCCTTGACATAGACTCGTGATTTACAGTCCTCCAATAGTGATCATACTAATTAATCCCACAGGTAACCTGAGTCTTCCTATTTCTTATTTGACGAGAAAGAGAATTATTTCTGTCAATTTCTCTTCTGTTTCTCTTTCCTATCCTGTTCTGGTGCCGCATTATCATGTAAGAGTTTTGCATACAGCACTCCAGGACAAGATGCACTTTTGATTTATGCTTTATGACTTGATGTCCTAATGCATCTGCATATGGAAGAAAGTTCATTCAATTTTCTGCGTAAAAACTTAGGGACCTTTTTAGAATTTATTAAGGTTATTCAGAGACATATTCTTCCCAATCTATCTTCCCATATTTCCCTCCCAATCTGTATTGCATTATGGTTAGTGACACTACATTTTTTTTTCCATTGTGCTGTCCATTTACCTGGTAAATTCAGTGTGTCACAACTCCTTCTGATCCTGAACTCTTTAGTAAATCTTATGGTATCAAAACAATTCATTACATTACTCTTTCCATCTTCTGTTAATTAAGGAATATAACACATCTAGGCAAGGAATTATTTTATGAATGGGCTTTAATATGGAAATGAATCAATAACTGTTTCCTAATCAAAGACTGAATTTTTTCAATAATGTCCCAGTTATGCAGCAGCTATTAAATTTCTGCAGTGCTTCCTATTCTGGAACTTTTTATAGGCCTATTTAAACCATCCCATAAAAGCTGTGTTTTATTGAGGTATATGAAGCACTTACCTCTAAGACACAATTTCTCTTTTTAGAAACCATGCAACCTTGACTCTGTCACTTAATTTTCTAGACATGTTTTTGTTCTGACTTTAATCATGATTCCACCTTTTTCCTGACTGATTCTTCAGTCTCTGAATAACTCTTGAGAGTTAAAATATATTTAGCCCAACACACCTTCAGACAGTAACTTCTTTTGCTGAAGTTGTCAGAAGTTTTGACTAAGTTCTAACATTTATTTTGATAACAGACATAAGACCTGCAGTAAGACAAAAATAAAGCACAGACTCATTCCACAAGTCAGGTACTTTATGATAACTGCTCATTGCATGCTGTTATGCTGAAGTGAAAACTGCCTCATGCAAGCAGCTCCAGCAAAGCAGCTGGCAACCACTAGTTGATATTGCCTTTGCCCATCTCACCATAAATTGTCCATCTGTTCATAGTTTGAGAAGAAGGTGCAGTTTTAAAATATTTATGAACCATAGAAAGTGATATTTCTCTCTCAGATATTCCTAACAGATATTTTGTCTCTCTTTGTCTGTCTTTCTAAGCTCAGAATTGCTCTTACCAATGTCAAGAGAAATTTTTATCACATTAAAAATCAGCATAGTGAGCATTAGTAAGGACAATTTAGCCTTTCAATTGTCTAGAGCATCTGTGTTTAGAATAATTTTTACTGAGTATCAGAAAACCCCTTTCCTGCCCTTTCCCTCTTCTAGTTCAGGTTTTAATGAGGCTTGGTGGAATGACTTCTCATTTGATTATCATCACCGATTTTGTTATTAATGGGTAAGGAATATGTTGTGGTTGAAATCCCCTGCAAACCGGATATTTCTTTTGTTCTAATTTGCAAGAACTGGCTGTCAGACCTACTAAGAAAAATTTCATTCACTAGGTAACATCCAAAAAAGTTAGTAGCACTTTTTTCTTCATTACTAGCAACGCCTTAATGAGAATACATAAGCCCATTTTACTAGAATGAAAGCAGCACGAGTGTGTGAGCTCTGTTTCAGCACAGACTCTTTTGCACTTCAAATTATTCTTATTCCAGGGAGGAATAAGGATGTAAAATGAACAGAAATCATGGATGTCTTTGGATTTAGATCACTTGGATCACCTCAACAGCCCATGAAGTCATTGGGTAGAAGCACTAACAGAGCAAGTGCATTACTGAGATCCTTGGACTGTATATGGAGTCTGATCCTTCTTCTCATTGATAGTGAACAGGAAATACCAACTACCTACAGGAATCTTTCTTCTCCTGTGCCTATGTAGGTTCCTGACACTTAATGCCCACTAGGTTCAAGCATGCTTCCGAAGATAGGTAAAAATCTTTTTCTAATAACATAGCAAAAGAGCAAGGAGCAGAGGAGAGCTAACCAGACTTCTTGTCTTTCTGCAGCATGAGAAGGCACAGATCTCTCACTACCTCTCTCATCTTTCAGAGGAAGTGCCCAAAGTACTAACAGCAGTTTTTCACTTGAACAGTGCAATAAAGAGAGCAATATTCTCTGGACCAAAGGTAAGCAATAAAGCAGAGGGATACTGAATCTGTAATTTGTTGAGAAGCATATAATTCTGGGCAGGGAAAATCCTTATTATTGGTCTCAAATATTGTGTGAAATGAATGTTTTGCAAAATTGTCTTTTACCGCACAAGAATGTATAAAGAAAAAGTTACATATATGCACTCAGAGGACTTGTATTATGAAGAAATGGGAATTCTAGCATGTGCCTACCTCCAGGAAATAGCCTAAATATCAGTCGGCATACTTTCACTTATGAACATGTTTTGTCTACTGAATGTATGCCTCCACACATGTATGCGCATGCTACTTCATTTTGGTTTGACTAAAATAAAAATTGCCTCAAAACAAGCAAACATCAAACAAAAAGTATGAAATGATAAGGACAAAGTTACATTTTATTTATTAAAAAAACTGCTCCATTTTCATTTTATATGAACTGTTTTTTTAATTAAAATTTTAGCACTTTTTTTTTTTTAATGGCTTACATTAATATTGTGCATTTTTTTATTACTGTTCTTCTCTTCTTTTCTATATCTCTTGAAGACTTTTTTTTGGAGAAGTTCTGCCTTACAATAGGAATTTACTACCTCGCCGTGAATCTCAGTCTTGGCATTTATAAATCTGCCATTATCTTGATGTCTGAGTTTTAAGTCTGGTGCCTTCTTGAAGTATTTCTAATCGGCACTGTTCAGAAATGAGATGACCAATTCTGCCATGGTTGGACCACATAGGCAGGCTCGTGTAGCAAATTTTATACACCTTATATATATAGAATATATAGATACATAACTTATATTTAAGCTCTATTATTCACTAATTTCTATTGTAATTTTACCTCCAACTTTTGCAAATTCAACATTCATTTTTCAAAAGCGTGTTTGTCTTAACAAAGTGGGGGTTAGACTGTGGTCACTTCAGTTTGTGCATTTTATACTGCATTAGACAGATCACTGCAAAGTGGCAAACCATTGCAACTTCTCCAGGTGTTTTTCTGGTTAGCTATTTTAAACTAAGATGTCTACTAAAGAAGCTTCTTGTGTACTCTTAGTTGTCTAAAAAAGGTACCTCTTGTTCTTACTTCTTTACATGGCAATGATCACAAAATTTCTGGAGCACTTTCCCTACAAAGGCTTTTCTCAAACTGTCTGATCTATGTGACATGTCACTTATTATTTTTAAGAAAGAGAGGTTTAGTGAGGCACAGCATCCCACAAGGATGCTTAAAGCCACTTTGTGCATTGGGGTTACAGTTTTCTGACAAAATGTCAATACCTTGTCATACATATTCAGTGTCACTGAGTTAGTTGTATTTGTTTTTGGAAGTACTGCACGCATATGAATTCCAGCATCTAAGAAATGGCTTGTGAATATCTCTCAGATAGAATTGAGCTGAACTGTCTGCGAAGTGAGCTTGTATAAGATTTGCTTTGTCATGAACTTTGGTGACTGAAAAATGACTGAATCCTATTATAGACTGTAAGGTTGCTTCACTATACACATGTATTCAACCTGAAATCTTCCCATTTAAATTTCATTTTTCTGTTAAACTCCAGGGCTCTTAAAGGGTCTGCAGTTCTGCTCAGAATAACCACTTTACAGAATTACGATAAACATTACTTAAAGAAAACTATTGGCCCAATGTGCCAGGTAGCATCTAATTCAAACGGTTTAAGTTCTTATAGAGTCAATTGGAGACAAAGAGAAAAGCAGAGTGCTGTGAGATACCAGTTTTTCTCAGTGAACCAGCAAGGCATCAAGCACATCCACAGGTAACCTGCAAGGATGAACGCTAGCCAATAGGGAAAACCAGAGCTGATATTTCTCATCTCACTCAGGAAGCTGGCAGAGACTCTGTGGAGTCAACACTTTTAGCCTGCAATGGACAATGGCTTTGCTCATCTTAGCATCCTGCCAATATTATGAAAACCAATCAGCTCTTTTTCAGGCTTCATCCAAGTCATTGCTCTTAGTCACAAGAATATCAGGTCTCTCTAATGTAACCTTGTACTGCATATTTGGCACAAAATATTCGTATCTTGGCTCTTGTAAGCTATAAGACACAACCACACAAGATTTTTTTATGCCTCTTGCAGTGTTTCAATTTGTAATTTAAAAAAAAAAAAAAAAGCCTAAACGGAAGAGTTGTGTGTGATATGCCCTATGAAATACTATGTTAGTGGAGTGGTTTCCTGGTAGAGTTTTATTCTCAAAAACTTTGAGCACAAACCACTTCACATGCAGTCAGTGAAAACCAGCAGTGTTTAGATAAATGTTATCTTTCTTGATAGAACATGTTTTGGCTGATAAAACTGAGTTAATCAGTTCATTTTTTAAACTTTCATTTCTTGTACCACTGAGTGTTTGGCAGTTCACTCAATCTAATTCATTAGCAGTGCATCTAGAAAACTCTTGTGGATATAGAATCATAGAATCCTTAGCATTGGAAGGGACCTTTGAAAGTCATCCTGTCTAACTCCTCTGCAATGAAGGGACAAGAACAGCTAGATCAGGTAGCCCAGGGCCTGATCCAGCTTTGCCTTGAATATCTCTAGGGATGGGGCATCAACCACATCTCTGGGCAGCTTGCTCCAGTGCCTCACCACCCTCACAGTAAAATACTTGTTCCTTACATCGAATCTAAATCTACACTCTTTAAGTTTGAAACCATTTCCTCTTGTTCTATCACCACAGACCCTGCTAAAGAGTCTGTCCCCTTCTTTCCAGTAGCTCCCATTTACGTTACTTCCTTATACTATTTGATCTTTTATAATAAATAATGTTTTATTTTATTACCACTACATTTAAATAAATCAGTCTTTAAATCAAAAATATTTTTGGATGTTGAAGAAAAAGTTAAATTAAAAACTCAACAGGAAGTTCAATATTCAAATATATTAGACTCTAACTAATGTTTAATGCCTCAATAAACTACCTAAACTTATATATGTTTGCAAGAACTGAGTCAGAAGACAATAGGAGTCGGTTTCCTAAAGCTTGAATATAAAGCTTGTAAAGTTGTATTGAAATATTAGTGTACCAAGAAAAAAAAGTACTTCAGTATTCATTGTTGACTAAAGTAAGCTGAAAGAAATTGTACAATAATGCATCAATATTTTTTTCATGTCCTAGACCTTGAAATAACAATCTGAGCTCACCCACTCTGCTTCAAAAAGATCCAGACTATTTAAGACTTGTTTTATTATAATCATAGTTTTATCATTGTCTAAAAATGCCGAGGTCATGCACTATATTTTTCAGCTGATCTTTATTTGACGACCAGTACTGATATTTCAGTGTAAGAGAGAGTAAATCACAATAAAATCATATATTATAGAAGCGAAATACAGTGTGAAAGGACGAATTTAAATAGCAAGAATGAGAAGAAATTAAGAAAGAGGAAAGAAAGACCCTATAGCTTTTGAGGCTAAACAGTACTGATGACATCTTAGTCTCATATAGATCTCTTCTTTATCACACAAATAAAAAAAAAGGTACAGAAGTGAAGGATGCTATTCGAAGACAGCATAGCTAAGTCTTAAATTAGAGCTCTACTCAACTTGTGATTTTTACCTTTATCCTTTGTCATAGCTGGGACTTTAATTTCCTTTCCTTTTGAAGAATCTGAAAAAAATATCAGACAAAAAAAAATGAAGGGGAAAGTCAGCTATGACAGTATATATACTATATCTGTCTATACTGTAACAAACATACATAACTCCTGATTAACCAAAATTTTGAAAAAGATAGGTGTTAGGAATTAGAATTTCTATTTACTTCAATACAAGGCTCAAATTAGAATTTGAAAACTAAACAAAAATAATTCCTACTAAATTACCTGGCAAAGACACTGCATTTCAAATTATACTCTCGGATTTATGAAGTCTATCACTTAAGTCTATCATGAGTTTAGAAACAGCTCTGTTACTAACTTACTGAAGTGGACCGGAATTGGCTACAGTTAACTGTCAAGCAACAGTTAAAGAACATCATAGTAAAGAACATGATTTCATAATTTCTGAATTATGTAAGATGATATTCACTTTGATGTATGAGATTTATTAAGGGACAAGAAGAGAGCTATAGCTCCTTTTCACTAAAAACCTATAATACAAAAATGAAAAGAAATCGCAATATATATTGATACCAATAGGCTGTGTAAAGATAATGTGTTATTTCCTAACTACATGATGTGACATTACCCTTTTCCTTTAAGACTGTTGGAGCCATCACATCTTTTCTTTTACCAGTCTCTGGAAAGAAACATTTAACATTTATCACAAGTCAGGTTAGAGAAATGAGATGACACTTGAAAAGAAAACAAGTTAGACATTTTGATATTTTGAGAGCAAAAAAGATGTGATAATTAAATGGATTTAACAGCATGGAAACAAAGAACAGGACAAAACTATAAGGTCTTTCATTCATCCTTTTAGACTTGGATGTGCAAAAAAATAAACAAAAAAAAACTTCCAATATGTCATTACTGTCTCTGCATTTGGGGGAAACTGTTAATCTTTCTCTCAAGCAGGCAATGAAAAACAATTATTTACAAAGTGAAAAGCAATTTAATTGACTAGCTAGTGTTAATAAAATTTTCTTTTACTGAACCCAAGTAAAAATTTAATCCACACAGATACGGTTAAAATATTAGAACTTGAATGCCAGAGGCTCCTGATAAAGGTAAATGGGAACTTTATTTTTTGATTTAACACAAGGACAAGAACTCAGTCATTTTTTTAACATCAAGGAGGTGTACTGCCTGTGAATAAAAGCACACTTTCTACATGTTTGTAGCCCTTTAAAATCACAGGAAAGCTGGGTATAAAATAACAACAGTATATCAGAATAACAGCAGTATATCAGAATGTATATTCATATACACTGTTCTGATAATCAGTTCTGAAATTCTTAACTTCTCTACCTACCTTTTTCCTTTGACCCTTCTGGATTCTTGGAATTTTTTCCTTTCAGTGATTCTGTTGGAAATAATTGAGTTTTTGAGATGCACGATATAAGCCTTTGACCTTTATTTACCTTACCTCTAGAGACAATATTGTAGTTCTTAAGATGTAACACTATTACTAGCAATCATGGTAATAAAAATAATATAAATAACTCTGTCAGTGAAGACCTCACTAGGTAGAAACTAGGAAGGATTAAGGCAAATACAATTAATGCCAAAGAATTAGGAATTTTTAGGGCCTTATCCAACACTTCATGAAGAAAGGATTATTTTGTTTTCTCTCATGGGCTGAAGCCAAATTTTTTTGCCTTAGTCCTTTAGATAGCATGTTTCTAGTATCGGCAAATGCAGGAAAAGCATATCATATGATAAATAAACAGTTGACATAAAGTACAAATACAAAATGTATATATCTTTGAAAGCAACTGCCACTTGAAGTATTAAGTGTGTGTATCAGAGAACATTAGTAGAAAATGGTAATTTCATGGGTTTATATGCATTCTTGGTTTAAGTGAGAGAACATCAGAGTCTGCACAATGCTGAGTAGACCTAATTATACTCCATCTGTTAGGTTATACCACCTAAACATCTAAAAAAAAACCAAAACCACTTTGTTTATTCCAGATCAACATTAACAAAATTTTCAGTAAGAAAAAAACCAAAACCATAAACGGATCATGATTAAAGAAAATGTATTTCAAAATAAGCTCATAAGTGACAGTCCTACTGGCTGTCATGGCAGCAGAATGCGATCCCACTTATCCAACTGGCTTCAAGTGTGACTTGCTACAGAAAAAGTTGACTTACAGTGTGGTTGAATCCTTTAGAGAAATCACACCATGACTAGATAAGTACTTAAGCAGGGAGCTTGGTCTTCACAGTAGCAGGTGGGTTCCTTCAGGGGATTCAGAGAAAACTTCAGTGTGCAGACTAAAATCTTTTGAAGAGGCTATAGAAGAAGTGTGCTTGACCATTTGTGCATGTCTGTGATTTCAAAGATAAGCAGCCACTATTTCAGCCACCAGGACAAACCAATACATTTTGACTGGTGGTGACCACAAGGTATTTTTTGTCTCTTGTGTACCTCATCTACAATTGGCTAGTCCTAAAATAAATTCAACACTTTGGAGTCTCATTCTTTTGGATGCCTTTGTTAATCAGTGCAGGATATTTTCGCTGGGGCACCATTTTATGCTTCTGAGATCAGCATCTTGCTTCCCTTCCAGGGAGCAGAACTTCCTCGTCAGAGACTTAAGCAGGGACTCACTAAAGGTGGTTCAAACTTTTTGTCTCTACTGACCATTTCCCTGGTCCCAGAAAAGGGAAAGATCGAAATTGTCTTAAAGCCAATATTTATACTGCTGCTTTCCTCCTGCATTCTAATCCAAGAGTGAAGCTCAGGAACTAAGAAAGTGATAATGAAGTATATACAACAGCAGTATACGAACTTTAGTGTAAAGATCTAGTTTTCATACAAACAGCAGCAACAAATATGTAAATGTAGATAGAAGGAAATACTAACTCAAGCAATACTGCTTTTTGAAACTTTCCTTTAAAGTCAGAGGGGGTATCATTTCTATGTAGGTGTGTCACAAAATAGCTTTCTATGTTTAGAGAAAAAAAATGTTCCAGACAAAAATGCTATGGACAAATGTTATTCCATTGTACGTTTACTTCAAAGGAAGCATCTGAATTGCTCAACAGAAGTAAATCAGTACATTTGTTTATTTCATGACAATGTGCTCTTATGTTTATGGCAAAAAGGCAATACTCACTACTTATTTCCCCTGACACTCTGTGCATATAAATAAATATACTTATTATCCACCCAGAAGTTACATAAGCAAAGATGCAAATACATCCTAAAATATGGCAGAAGCAAACAAGAGGGAAAGAAAGAGCATTTGTTTGGAAAACAGATTGTGTAGCACAAAGTATGAGTGAATTTTCATTATCTGTACAGCACAAACACTGTCATCTTAATAACTCAACATAACTCACAATGCAATTCAAGTGCATCTGTTAGAAAAATTTCGTGAAAAGTTGCATATAGTATGTCATAAGCTTTTTAGTGCTACTGTTAGAGATTCTGTATGAACCAGCTTCTACTATCATTAGCTGGGTAATATATCAAAAAACTGCATGACAAATTATAGCCTAGAGTTTCCTTGTCTTCACATTATTTGAATATGCTCATGTCAACAGAAAATCAACTGTTATATTAATTATTCTAAATGGCCTTTTTTCTTGAGCTGAAAAGCTAGATATAAATTCAGTAGATGTCAGATAACATTAGTGAAAAGAGAAGGGAAGGAAATATATTTTTCCAGTGTTCACCTTAATCATTCCCAATAAAATGAGACTGTAAGATTGAAGATATTTTATTCACATCATAAAACAGATAGGTTAACACTGTAATATTGTGATCTACGGAGTATCTCAGAGATAGCTTCAAATTTGAGAATTTATTTTCCCTGACTCTTTTTTAAATAGTGCTATTGCCAAAACAATTGTAGGAGAGAACAGAAGTTTTGGATTCAAAATGGATTCAAAAGAAGCTCTTAAAACAGAGGAATTCGAGTTTTGGGTCTCTTCACTGTGAAGTGCTCACATCCACTGTTTAGTCTCCTTGAAGGTTCAGCAAGTGTCAGTGAATGTCAATGGGTGCCATTTTTCCTGCACGGAGGAATTCAGTGAGACACCATTTCTTCATATGCACTTCCATGTCAGATGCCATTTTGTCAGTCTGCCCCTCTGCTGCCATTACTTTCAGAGCCCTCATACATTTTCTATTGTTCAGAAAAGAAGGTTTTTAGGAAAAATCTTAACTATAACTCAGAAAGTCTTTGTGATATTTAATTAATTTTGAGTCTCCTGAACATTAATTGTTCTATTTATGGTTTTTTGGTCTTTTTTTGCTGTAAATCCTTTATGTAATTTTAACCAATTAAATATTGATTGGATAAGATTTCTAAAAGATTAAATTTCCAATGATTATTTTTAAATGAATACATTCATTCTACATTGTGTGGTTTTAAAATAAGTATTATATTCTTTTGTGTATCCTTACCTTTATCTTTTAGAGCTGTCGGATTCTTTCCTTCCTTTTCTTTGCCATGTTCTGTAAAAATAATTTATTAATCTTCAAGCTAGAGTGATAAAAGGTTAACATCTAATACCTCTGGGATAACGATTGATTGAATAATTGGTGGTTTCTAACTGAGCCATGATACCAATTTAATGTGTAGTACAAAACACTATGTGCACTTTGTGCATGCTCACAAAGTGAAGAAATGAAAAATTCTTAATTTTGATATAAGAAAAAATATCACTGAAAAATCACGTATTTCACTCTGCAGCATGTAATAGAAAATGCTATCAAGTGTTCTTAAATTCTGAGTTTGGACTTCTACGTTTTTTTTTTTTAAGATGTTTCACGTTAGTGAAGATCTATCTGCACTGCTGATAATACTAATAAAGTTTTATTACAAATTAACTGAACTATTATTACACTTATAAATTCCTTTCTAAGATGTAAGATAAAAACAAAATGCCCAATTCATTGCAAGATATTTTCTTGATGTGAATATATCCTTAGGTTTTCTACAATTATGTCCTATGACATTACCTTTATCCTTGATAGCAGCTGAATATTTCAATTCTTTCTCTTTTCCAGGATCTGTAAAAAAATGTATTTGTATACCAACAAAGTGACAGTCAGAAGCAATAATGGAGTGAAACTAGAAGACTTAAGCTTCAGAGAATGTATATCATATGAGAGACTACAACTATGTACTGGAAGAAACAGTGTCAAGCAGTGACTGGGAAAGTTGTACAAAATTCTCCCTTTTCTGTTCACCAAGTGCAGGTCACAAAATGTCTTCTATTGATTTAATTATTATGTCTATCAATGTGTAAACTTTTACTTATTGTGGGATAAGTATATTATGTCAACTTCCTTAAGTAGAGAAGGCAAAAATCACCCTTTGACGATTTTGACTTATAAGAAGTGGTTCCAGTCTACTTCCCTCATCTGGGATTTTCCATTCATGCTGAGCAGGTCCAAGGATCTCCTTATTGAAATTGTTCTTTCATGAGTGTCAGATGCATGCCAAAAGGGAGAGCAGCACAATAGTGAAATAGGTCAAAGAGGTATTTTTATTCTGCCTCCCAATGAGTAGTGAAGATGGCTATGTGGCATCATCCTCAATGGAAACTGGATGATGAGGGATAGTTACCTGACCAGCAGGAAATAAGCAATAGTTTTGTTTTGGATAAAACAAGAGATTATGATTCTGGTCTGATGAAATGTTTCCTAAACTTCCCCTCTTTTCTAAAATCAGGAGGACAGATGAATCTGTTCCAAACAGATTAGTCAGAAAAAAACAGAGACTTGGATTTTGAATTTCCTCATGCTGAGTGTTTTAACTCTCTAATGATTTCAGGGGTTTAAATATATTATCTGAGAAGCATTAATTAAGTGGCATTTTCTGGAAAAGAAACACAATGTCATTCATCATATATGAAGTAAAACTTTATCGCAACCAAGAAACTCAGCAGCAACTCGGTGCCAGAAAATCTTGAAGAGCTTTGTAAGAAGGTCCCCTTGGTTTCTCAAAATGGGATAAGATTCCTTGTTAGATGGAAACTGCATTGTGTCTAGTAGACAGATCTGACAGAACTTGCAGCAGCTGCAGTGGGTAGTTGTGATGATTGTTTACTGCCTGAAAGCACACACAGTTCACAAATTGGCACCTTTGTAATGAAAGCATTTAATGTATCCAATAGCAATTTATCATTATTAATACCGTTTCTTGTTCATAACTTACTACTGGGATCCATGTAAGACAAGATGAGTTTATGGGGAATCTACATCAAAAGAATTCAGCCATAATATAACTTTATTTATGCTTATTTAAAAATATTATTAATTTATTTATTTAAATATATAATTTAATATGACAGAAGTAAATAGGTGAAAAAATAACATTTACTTTTGACATTAAAACACATTTTCTGGAGTGGCTGGCTTCAAGGGTTAAATGTTTAATTCTTCTTCACCTTCTAAGCTGCGCTTCTAAAATGGCCATACAATTAGACTGTACAATTTTGAAAAGAGATTTGGGAGAGGAACTTGTAAAACAATGTAAAAAAAAAAAAAGCAAAATGAAATTTCACTGTAATAAAGCTGTCTTTTTCCATCCTCATCACATCTGCTTCAGTATCTGCCTGTGCTCTCCTGCTTCTACCTGCTTCTCAGGATTTTATGATTCAGTCATTAATTTACAAAGTTAGAAGACAATTCACTTCGGATATCCATGGAACATACATAGGAGAACTAAGTAACTCTAATGAGCCCTTTCAAAAACGTAAGCAACATTAGCATTTAAATACTAAGCTAATGCCAATTGCCAATGTTAATAGAAAAAAAGAATCATTAAGAAGGCTGAAAAATACTCTCTTCTGTGCTCATGAGTTACTGAAAAATTCCAAATTTCCTTATTCATTACAGCACTCTACAACGAGAGGAGTTTGGAAGACGCAAATGTTTCCTCTCTTGCTTCACTCTCTCATTATTACTTCTTTTCTAAAAAATAATTTCTGATTAATCCAAAAAACACTGATAAATAATATGCTACCTTGTCAATATGGAATTAAATTATTTAATGCACAGTATAAAACCTCTTGTGTTCAGGAGCCTTTCCAGGGTAATAATTTACAGCATGTCCATTGTTAATAAGAGTTACCTAAGCTGTTGTAAAAAAAAAAAGGCTGGACATGGTTCTGAGCAACATGGTCTAGCTGTAGGTGTCCCTGTTCATTGCAGAGGAGTTAGACGAGATGGCCTTTAAGTGTCCATTCCAAATCAAGCAATTCTATATTTCCATGAATCTGTCAGAGTCTGGCATAACTTGCAGCACAAGTTCCACAAGAGCTTTGCTTTGTACTGATTTCCAGTGCTAAACATATATTGAGATCAGAAAGCATAGTTGAAACCTATAGAGTGCACAACAGGTTTGGAGAGATCTGTAGTGAGTTTAACAGACTTGAAGACAAGAATTTGTTGTGGAAAAAAAATATATTTGTACACTTTGCAAATAGGTTTATCATAAGTGCATAGCAAAAGTCTCTTTCTTTTCTCACTGAAGAATACAATGTTATGGGATGAAACTTTGGCTTAAATAGACTCACATGTCTTCACATATCCATTATTACTAGTCTGAACCTACCTGTGTGACCTATTCTAGGGTACTTGCTTTGACAGGGGGCTTGGATTTGATGATCTCTTGAGGTCCCTTTAAACCCCTGCAATTCTGAGATTCTGTAATTCTGTTACAAATATCATCTTTGCTGTGTCAGCTCTAGTTTATCTACCACAATCTTGTCCAATTCTCAGTAATAGCAGCATTTTTTTATATACATTATTTTCCGCTTTTGGATAAAACATTGATTTATCCATTACAGGAAGAAGTAATATCTAAATATTTTGCTTACTTGCATGTTTCATCTTTGGTTTATCTGAGGAAAGAGAAAAAGAAGGAAAGAAAAGGTGAAAAGATAAAATAAAAAAGAATTATTATAATACATATTCATGTAGGAAAATATTTTTAATTCAAGCAGCTATTGAAAATGTATTCAAAGAAATATTGTTCCTATATACTTAAATACAGCTTGAAAGTGATTTTGACTCTATTGTTGTTTGGCAGCATGTATGAAAAAATTTCATTGTTCTCATCTAGTACCACGCAGACATGAAACCGAAGCATAAAAACACCCATCTCATAATAGCCTGTTTTAAGTGATGCTAGCTTTCTTATAACCTCTCATATAACCTTTCTTAATTCTAGTAGGTAACATGAGAAAATATTTTTGCCTTTTCCTCATTTTATCAAGCTACTTCCTGACTTTTTTTTTTTCTATTTGCTAAACAAATAGAGCTATTCACACTCTAGCACTGCTGGAAGCCTCCTTATATTTCGTATTTTTCTTATATCACAAATTCTGATTTTAACCAGCTCCCTCTGCTTGTTAACATGTATCCTGGTGTACAATAGCTAGCACAATAAGATTTCATTTCTCAATCTAAGGGGTCCAAAATTCCTTCAATTTAAATATTATTTTTTCACAAATTCAATTTTTCCTCAATAAGAAAAGGAGTCTTCACTTTTCCTCAGATCTTTTAGACTACTATGACCTGTTAATTAAGTGTAGATTTCTCTTTAGTCAAAACACAACTGAGAGGTGCTTCCATCACCATATATTTTTACAGTTCCATAAGAAATACAGAAGTGTTAATATTCAAAAAATCATCTGAAAAGTGCTTCTGGCTTATTTGCCTTGGAATGAGCAACATATTGGCAGTACACACAGGACACGGAAACGAGAAGCAGAAGCAGTAACTATCTGAAAGTGTACATGTTCACTTGTACGCTGCAGAGGAACAGAGCTGCCTGCCAGTAGATGGAAGTAGCTGCAGAAGTAGTTGAGATAGATATTTTATGTTGTTCTTATCCCTTTGACTTGCAAAAACTAGGTGGCCATGGGCACGGGGAGATAGAATTTCTCCTGCTGATTGCAGGTGGAAAAATTACTTTGGCCCAGTTCTGAGCATCTCAGGAATCACAACCAATGATTTAAAAATCCCAGCTCAATGCCAACCAGGTAAAACTATGGTTTTTACCGCTCCATCTGTGCTCTGTATAGCACAGATAACATTATTTTGAAGATAACATCCCATCTATTGATGGTATATCGTAGAAGAGACAAATCTTTCAGCAAACACCACTTTGTTGTTTGAGATGGTCAAATAGAAGGAAGGCAGTGCAGATAGCACTTGTGCAGAAATTAGAAAATTAGAAAACAGAAAATAGCATGGCAATACCCAGAGTAACAATGAATTAAATCTAGGCTAAGGCCTAACTAATTATAACATTTTCCATGACAACTAACAAGCAGTTGACAGCTGCTGCAGGATGCCCACACTGTCTTGAATGATGCTGAGTAAAGCTGAAGCTGAAAAACTAGAGAAAGGAACAATAGCTCCATTGACGAAAGTTACAGCTGTAATAATTCCCTTTACATTATTCTAAAGGTCACTTGCAAGTTTTAGAAAGACTCCAGTATGAATGAAAATGCCAAGTTCATCATTAGGGCCCTAATGGGCAATTGGAGAATGAGTAAATACATAAATCACCAGTTAGCAGCAAAACAGTATAGATTAGGGTATGTATCATATAAAGGAAGCCAAGTCTTACACGCTTTAGGTCTATCATTAGTTTTACTGCTCTGCTTTTTGCCGTAAAATACAGAGAATTTTTTTTTTTTTTAAAAAAAGCACACTAGAAGCAAGGATATAATACTGAAAATGTACAATAATAATAAATACAATTGTATATAATGGAGAAATGGGAGTCCTGACAGGAGAGGACTTGCTTGCTCCCTTACGAACATACTTAGTGCCAAGAAGTCTGTGACCAAGTAGTCAGTCCAACATTTAAGCAATGAGATCTCAGTATTCAGGCAATTGGGCTGGGAGCCCTTGCAGAGGACAAGCACTGCCAGCTGCCAAACACCAAGCATATCTCATGCATTTTTTGAAGTTTAGCAGCTTCATGTTGATATCCTCTGTGCCTTCTGCACTTCAGAAGCTGACACTGACTATGATCTTTTTCCTTTCTAATCTGTTTGACCTCTGCATTATTTTATCACTGTTCTTGGTTTCTTCATCTAGATGCTTTAAGATTCCAACCTTTTTCTTTATATTTTCACTACCATCTTGGTGGTGGTGGACGGAGATTTGCATTAACCTTAGTGTTGACCATTCCATGTTTTTTTCTGCTCTGGGTGACCTGGGAAACCGTACATAGATGTACCAGCTGAAAAACATTCCATCAACACTTATGGTTCTTGTATCCTCTCTTCTGTTGTTTTTACTCCCAGACCTTACAATTCATACCTCATCCATACAAATCATACCCCACCCCAAGGTTCTTGCTACAAACATCTGTAAGTTCTGCTATCAAAAGCCTCTTAAGCCTTTCACAGCAACAGATTTAAAGGTTGCTGTCATCCAGCAGTCTGAATCTGAGGTTTCTGTTTCTGTGCAGCTGCCTTTCGAAGAGAGACAGTGCCAACATGCTTTGTTTTCTTTTTACCTTTCTCTGCTGCCTTTGTTGCTTTTATTTCCTTCTTTTCATGTACTGCTGCAAAGCAAAGATAAGGCGTAAATAATATTTCTGGTCAGAAGCATTACTCCAACAGACAAAGCTTTTCTTAAATGCCTACAGATTACTTTGAAACAAATGAATATTTCAGAGATTTGCAACCATGAGATCTCTTTGTTTCTGATATACGACCACATTAAAAATATTTTTGGCCTATTTAAAAAAAAAAAAACAAAAAACAGAGGAAAAGCAAAGAGGGAATTTCTTTTAAAAAAGGATTTTACAACTTTTTTTTTTTTTTTTTTCCTGGAAAAGAGACTACACTGCTGTGTGTATGATCTTAACTGAGGAAACAGCAAAGCAAAGCTTTGCACAGCCATGTGGGGCTTCTCTATGCAAGTATGGTTGTTTCTGCACCAGCAGAAAATTCCAGCCTGCATCCCTGACACAGCAAGCTATTTCCATGTGTTCTCATTTTCAAGCACGTATTTAGCCTTACATCTTATTGTATCTTACTGAGAAGGGTTCACAGTCAGACTATGTGATGTAGACACCTAAATTAGTCCTTGTGAATTCTGCAGTTTTTTAGCATGAGAGAAGAAAATCAGATCACTTGTGCAGCCTGGCTGTTGGTTCTCTATTGATACTATAGGGAAGCAGCAGTAACAAGATCAGGATGCCTGAACATATTCAAACAACTATGACCAAGCTTTAGCTTGCACACTTCCCAAACTGTTTTGCACAGATTGAGAGATAGGGGACAGAGGCTACTTGTTTTTAGTTCCATGCTAAGGATTAAATCATAGAATCATAGAATGGTCTGTATTGAAAAGGACCACAATGATCATTGAGTTTCAGTCCCCCTGCTATGTGCATGGTCGGCAACCACTAGACCAGGCTGCCCAGAGCCACATCCAGCCTGGCATTGAATGCCTCCAGGGACAGGGCATCCACAACCTCATTGGGCAACCTGTTCCAGTGTGTCACCACCCTCTAACAAGGGTCTAACATGATCTAACAGGAGAAGGCTCAAGAAAAAATCTCTTCAGACTTAATTCTCCTGGGAAGCTTACTCAGTGCTTTATAATCTCTTACACTCTGTATGGAAAGTTTGGCAATGTACAGGACCTCCTGTCGATTTCTCAATCTATGTAGAACAACATATATTTTGGTTCATCTAATTTAATTATTCAGGATTAAGTCTCGCAAATATGTAAACATGCTTGTTTAGCTGTAAATGACTACCATCATCTCACATACGTAAAGTTGAGCTTTTATAGTTGTAATTTATAGCCATCACGCAGAGTGAAAATAGCTGCTTTTAGTTTGAAAAGGTATCCTCCTACAGGGTGCAATAGATGAAAAGGTGGCATTCAGAAAATGTGCTTCACTGTTATTGCCTAGTTTAGAAGAGCTGTAAAGAGTAAGCAATCAGCATACATGGCAAGTTGTACATTGGAAAATTAATTTACTTCAAATGATCAGTATCTTAAGCACTGAAAAATCTTTGCAGCTATAGTGTTATCAGCGCAGAACATCCACTCAGCTTGTTAGCATTCTAACCTGACAAGTACAGGAATGTTTTAGTGGTAGTAAATTAAGTGTGAATTTTAGAGCCAAGGTACATAGTGAGGTCACGTTCTGTTATTGTTATTTATGACAAACAATTCACTGAATTAAAAATGCTTCCAGACATGCTCACTACTCTTTCAGGGATGCCCTGGTGGCCACCCTGGGTCCAAGCTTGTAGCCCAGCAGCATGGAAGCCTTATCAAGCTGCTGGGTCCAAGAAAGCCTGCTCAGCTATGGGCAGTCTGCAGTGCCTGCAAGTGGACAGAAGGCCAGAAGAAGGATCTTCTGTTCCCATTAGGAACTCTTTTCAGAGATTCACTGAAATGTCAGGTGTGGACAGATGAATTACTTAAGATTGAATAGGATGGACCAGCTCTCATGTATCAATCATTTCCTGACACTTGTTCTTGCTTATTGCAGGTGCTGTGGTGCGAGTGTGTGTTTGAAGGCAAGTTCCATACAAACAGTGAAATACTATACCTCTGCACCTCAGTTACATCAGTTAGCATGTTTTATTGAAGTTTGCCTGAAAGTTAATTCAAAGCTGAAGGGATGACTGACTGTATTCATAAAAAACATAGAACATCAATTCCTTCTCAAGTATCTAACTTCATGTTCGTGTCCTTGAACATACAGAAAAGAGGAGCAAAATATTTTGATATTTATTGTAGATCTCTGCTATTAACATCCATGTTACTTAGGCCTTGTAATAAATCGGCAATAGATTCCTGATATAAATTAAATTCAGTGATTCTGCCTACTTGTCCAGGTAAATGTGGGCATTGAGTCTTGCCACTGTGAGCATAGAGCTTTAAAAATCTTGCTGAAATAGTCAAATATTGAGAAATAAGTTTAATATATGTTTTAAAAAACATATGGAAACAGGTGCTAGGAAATAAATTCACATACTTTCCAAAATGCATTTTTGCTCAGCTACTCTAAAATTAATTTTTGTTTATCCTGTTAGCTAATCTAAAGCAGTTTGATTTTGTTCAATGTCTTAAAACAAGAATACTGATAGAATAAAAATTGAAAGTAGCTTCTGGATACTGAAGATCAATACAATCTTCTGAGATGAACTGGTATTTACAATCATCAAAATTGTGTGGCAAGGTAGACAAAGTACAGTTACAATGAGGGAACCAGCCTCTCTTGAGCAGTATTGAGGCTAATATACAAAAACTACTAGCTATTACTACCAATACTATTCTGGCTACCAGTGCATTCAGCAATGTTGCAGTGCTTCTCTGAGAGTTTGTAAAAAAATTGCTGAGATAGATCAGCACTTTAATAGCTGTTGGGTACTGGCAAGTAGCATCATTTAGACATAGCAGAGCAGTGTTTGGAAGGACAAATAGGACAATGCTTTATCATCTCAGCTTTTTGAGAAGGAGGTGACACTGCTTTGGAGATGTTGAGAGGTCTTTTAGTCTCAAGGTAATTAGTGTCACTTTAATGGTCTTCATAAATAGAAACACACAGAATAGACACACAGAATCACTGTTTGGAATGAGACTCTGCATAAGATTTTGTCTTATTTGTATTAGAATAGGGGAAAGTTTTCTGAGTTGTTCAAAAAAGGAAAACAAGGAAATAAAGAGAAGCAGTAAAAGACAAAACAAAAGCAGACTGAAAAGCTTGTTCAGATTTGCTGAAAAGTATCGCTGCTAAACACTGCTAAAATTTGTCTATCATTGTAAAAAAATAAACCTAGAAGAAAACAACAGCATTTTTACATTATTCTTAGTAAAAGTAGGAAGAACAGCTGTTCTATTCTGTATTTAAAAAAAATATATTGCTTTTTTTTTCCCCTAGAGTTCAAGGCATGTTTGAGTTTCAAAATTTGCAACATAGACATGAATGATTTGTTAGTAAGTAATTTTTCAGAAATTAACAATTATTCCAGAACTAAAATCAGCTGTTTCTCTTTAATGTTGATTGGTGACTGCTGTTATTTACTTAAATATGGGAGAATTCAAGGTTCAATATTAGGCTGATCCCATGATTAAACTGAGATGGCCGAAACCAAAATTTTTCTGCAGACTATTCTTTTGACTGCAGAAAAAAGCAAAATGGTTCCTGTCAGTCATAATCAAAGCACACAGTTTTCATTTATCCTTAGCAAACTCTGTATAAGAGGAGTGTGCCTTAATTCTAGAACTCATATGTTAGCGTTCTTTTCCATCCTTCAAAATGCTAGGGAGAAGATAAAGACAAATTGCATTTGCAAGTGCTTGTCTCTTATCTAAAGAAATATGAAATACACTATTTGGCAGACAAACTTGGGGAACCAGGTACAGAGGTAAAGACTCTCGTTTCATAGACCCCACTAATTCTGGATGTAACCATCACAAATGACCTAAAGAAAACAACTCTTAATAATAGGTAAATATAGTTGGAACAAGATGTACAAAAGGCCTATGACAACATTTCCCAGTAGTGGTGAAAGAAAACTTCGAGTTTGCAGAAATTGACTCAATTCTGCAAGAAAAATTCTTCATGTTTTTCAGATTCTAATGGATAAAAGTTTGGCAGGAATGAGTTCACAGTTTTGAAATGTTGGCATAGAATGTTATAGAAGAAATAAAATGTATAAATAAATAAAAATAAATGTATCAAAAAGATTTCCTTAGAGTCTTCAAGCAGTAGTGGAAAGCTTTATTCAGGCACCTAGAGAATCGAGACTACTTTTATTTTCTGTTTTGTTTGGTGGGAGAAAAAGGAGAACAAATTAAACTTTAAATTAGTCTGTTTTCTGTTTTGCTCAATAAAATTAACTTCATGGCAATGACAGCATTATGAACATAGTCCATGAAGAAGAGAGCTTAAAAACATCCAATAAAGTGAATGCTGCATCAGCTTTAATTTGCTTACATCAATCTCCAAGTGATTCTGCACCCCTTCCTCACATTAGAGAAGAGCACTCTACTGACTTCCACTGACACCTCTGAGATAAACTCTCAAAGAAGATACTTGAATGACAGCGGGGTATTAAAACATGTTAATTTGCATTTCTCTGGTTTGACTTGTGGCAGACAGCTTTGGAAGCCATGGATCACAAGTTCCGAGCAGTTAATAAAATAGCACTGTTGTTTCAAGAGGAATGTTTGTAAAGGAAGGTGGTCTTTAAATAGGAATAAACACGGTAATGCAGGGATTCAGGATGAAGTGCTTTTGCAGTTTGTAATATCATCACTTTTTTCACTTGTTCTTAAGATATATGTGACAGCGGTAACATTCCTGAAGACAATCTGGGGCTAAATCCTTTTGTGTATGTAAAAAGTCAGATGTAAACATTCAGTTTGAATTTAAGCCCCTAAGGCTTCTGACCAATCCAAGTGCTCTGTGCCTTCAGGGAAGGAACAGATGGTGGGGAAGAATCAGATGCCACCATATTAGCTCCATATCTCCCACCTTCTCCTGTTGACAGTTCTCAGATGAAAATAAGGCAAACACTGAACTTCTCTTTAAAACCTCCTAGACTCAGTAAAGAAAACACCTAACACATCACTGGTTTTGAGCCACAGCTGGACAGATGAAAAGAAAAATATGACCCTGTATTAGGATCCAGAGGAGACTGATTATTTATCCTTTATTTCTCTCACAAAAACCTTGTGGTCTCAGTTAAGGTCAAAAAAAGAATTTGAAAGAGTTTTAGAACTAGAGTTTGCAAGTCCATTGACAATTCGAGAAAAAGAAACCTGTTTTTCAGGAGACTTTGAGGTGTTGCAAGGAAGGAGCCATTAACATTTAAAAGGTCCGCTTTCTTTTACACCTGCCAGCATCTTTGTCACAAGAGGCTTTCTCATTAAGAACAGAGTTAACACCAGTACTTTTCCATTTCAGTTTCTAAACCGAAAAAATTTACTCACTTTTTGACTTCATAGTTTCTACAGATGCTGTTAAATTAAAAAAAATAATAATTACAGGGAATACATTGTACAATTACATAAAATCCTCTTATGATCAGACTTACAGAATAGAACAGGATATCCTAATATATTCATCGTCTGCTCAATCTGCTACCCATTTACACAGAACAGCCTAGTAGCTCACTTATTAGTTTTTTTTCAGGGGAAAACTGAGACACACATATGTTACTTGTTTGGATAGTCTGATGGCAGCTGACTAATAACCCTGCAGCTTAAAAGCAACAGAAATCAAGGTCAATAGGTAAAATATATGACAAGGTTTCACAGCTTCACCATTTTCAGGTAACAAGAGAAGGGGGAAAAACACGTTTTAGGATGAAGCATGGGTGGAGAATATGCAACAGAAGTCTCCTTTTAGTTATTTCAGTTATTTGGGGAAGTTAAGAGCATTTTCCTTCAAGCTCTTGAAAGCTTTAGGCACAGTTTAGGAAAAAGAACCATTTTAATATTCATATAGATGGCAACCAATTTTCCAAAGTATTGCTTGAACGTATCTTTCAGTTTTATCTGCTTATTATTCTTCATAGTTAAAGTACCTAAATCCAAATTAAATGAACAACCACACTTTCCTTTGCCATTATTGATACCTTCATTTTGAAGAACTGTGACAGGTTTTTCTGCTATAGCAGAGTTTTTTTTCCCCTACAGTTTGACTGTCTACCGTAGGTAATTTTTGCTCAGGAGTTGCATGTGATAAAATAGTATCATTAGGTGAATTAGTCATCAAACTTGGCAGTAAAGGGGGTTGAAAATCTTTAGGTTATTCCAAATTTAGTTAAAATGGAGAAGTAAAATGCTGTCAGGAATAAGAGCACCTAACTACAGCAATAAAATGTGTAGATGATTGAAATAATACTAGAACAAAGCCTACTTCTTTCTTCCCCTCCAAATACTGAAACTCTTATTTTGTGTTTTGTTCTCTACAGGTTTGCTCTAATCTTCAAGCAGGGTCCCTTCCTCCCTGAAAATATCAAAAGTCTATAAAAAGATGAAATAAAACAATCTCACCCTCATTATTCTTCTCAGCTACATTTGATAAGATCTCAGTTTCAGAAGGCCAAATGTCTGCATGGCTGCTCCAGAGTCAGTCACTTGCCCAAGTACATTCGAATAAATCAACGGATCATAATCACTGGCTTCACTTCTCTTGTCCCTTTAACTAATCCTGTCTGAACTTAAAATCAAACCAAATAAATGTGACTCCAAAGCTTATTGTTTTTCACAGGTCTTACCATGCGCTTTTAGGTCTTTCTTCGCTGTTCTGGCTGTTAAAACAAACATGAAACAAATACTTACTTATTGCAGGAATTATATTCAAACAGTAAGACTGTTGGAAAGTAAGATGAAAAAAAAATGAGAATATTCACCAGTTTCCACAGATTTTTCTTTCTTGTGATCTGAAAAAGAAAAAATATACAAGTATACTTTCATTTTCTTTGGACAGTAATTTTCATGTTATCAGCGACTTCTGTTCTCTTGGGTTAGATGAGCCTTTCTCTGTCTTTTGGTACATGAAAATGAACTCTTTATAGTTATCATTCTTTATTTCTTTATCCCTGGTGGTTTTCATGCTATGCAAATGGGATCAGTTTAGCTGCTAATATTGGACATCAAAGAATTTAACTCATATTGTAAGGTGCTAAAGGGAATCCTAGCAGCAGTGAGAGTTAAAATATATGCAGGTTTACCTCATGGTGGCCTGTGAACCTGCTATATGTGCCTCTGTGTGCAACTGTGATATGCTACTTGCTTCTTGTCATAGGGAATGGAGAATGTGATTCTATGATCTCATCCAGCCACTGCAGCTTTTCAGCCATAGTCCAGCCTTAATCACCAAAGTAAGGTGGGATATGCAGCTGAAAAACTTCATCCACCTAAATCCTGTACCCTGAGGCAAACTATGTCTGGGATTGACACATTTTTAACAGCAATTTCTGTAAGGGCTCTTTTGATCAGGATTCGCATCCAAATTCCTTCAGAGAAGGAGTACACAGCCAACCAGAGGGAAGAGGGAGATTACTGAGCTTGCCTCTCAGGAACTCAACATTATCTACCACTCAAGACTAATGTTTATAATAACAAAACAAACAAAAAAAAAAAACAAAAAAACCCTCAGCTTTCAAAATTGGCATATTGTGCCTGCGGATTCTTTTAAATAGCATGTGTAAAAGTTTTGGTGTGTTCAGCATTTGATCTACACAGGAGAAGTATCTACATTTAAAATATTTGAGCTGACTAATGGAAAGAACAACAGCAGTTTGCATTAAATACAAACATCTACCCAAGCTACATTTTCTCCATGTTTATTATGTGAGTTATTTGTATTAATGCTGTAGTATGAGGTCAAGGAATAGTAGTGCCTTAATATTCAACTTTAACTCTAGAATCAAGGTATAAAGTTCCATATGCAAAGTGACTATGCTGTACCTCAATAAAATAAAGCCTATCCTTAAATATGACTCATCCTTCAACGGAAGAAAGAAATAATTTCAATAGGAAATAAAATATTTTAACCAATAACATATTAGTATAAATAGAATTTAGATTCAATATTAATTCATGTCCAATATTAACACAATATTGATTTTTGATATTAATATTAAAAGTAAAGTGGACATCTAAAAGAAATAAACATCATGTGGAGCTATGAAAATAATTGGTATTTTTAAAGGCAGGCTTATACCAATTATTAAAAAATATAACCATTAAGTTTTTAAATGCAATGTGTCATTACCACGTACTCCTACTCACAGTATATTTGTATCATGTAAAGCATGTTCAGTCTGCAAAGAAATATTCATTTCTATTCTGTTTTTAAACCTATCTGAAAAGCCAGCATATCTATATATTAAAGCAAAATATAGCCTCTAGATAAAGGTTTGTTTTAAGATGTAACAAAAAACAAAACAAACAAACAAAAAAAAACCACAAACAAAACAACACAAACAAACAGCAACAAAAAATAAACACAAAAGAGTTTCATTTTTTGTCCTTTTACCAAAAACTTTCCTGATGATGTAACATCATGGCAATTCACAAGCAATTTTGTTCAGTCAAAATCTGTACTTCAAAGCACAAAGACTAGTTGCCTGAAATCAGGGACCCAGCTTCTATATTGTTACATAAGGCACACTTGAATGTATTTATTACATAATGAGCTTTATATCAAATTATCTTTGGTATTTTACTGACACATTGTAATATATGACATGAGAGTCAATGGAAAAGTTCGTGCTTTGGGTTGCTGTGGCCAAGCAACAAGCTGCAAATACAAATTTTCCAGCAATATGAATACATGGTGCCGAGAGAATAGGTTGGCACTAAGTAGTTCATTATCTGGATAAATCTTATGTTTCTCTCATGGTGTCCTAGCTTAGGTGGCAATCCTAGTAAAAGCCAAGGAGGAGAAGAAGCAAAAAGTGAGAGGACAGAAGTTTGGAACTCATTGGTTTGGCTGACTCAGTGAGCATAATCTTAACAACAACTGTGGCCTTTGTTTTGTGCAGCCCAAGCACTCTTTGGAGTATCCAATTCCATTCAGGTATTTTAGGACTCATTCTGTGAAAGAAGAGTTTTGGTTGGTTTTGTTGGGTTTTCAGTTTTTCTTTTGCTTTGGAGTGCTTCTTGAAAACTGAAAGTAATGTACTTCTACTTTAGTGATACGGAGGCAATTATTTTTCCCTCTGGCTGTCAGATCTTATGAGATCAGAGAACAATATGACATTAGCAAACCTTGGCAAGTGTTTTTGCAAAATATAACATTTTTCAGTTGTTTAGCTTTGTTTCCTGTTTTTCAAACTGTAAATATCAAGGAAGTTCAGGAGAGCTTTTTTATAATAGTGTTACTACCAAAAGCACTTGAAAAGAAGCACATTATCACAATGTACATTAGAAAAGAAAAAGTCAATAAGTAGCAATACTGCATGTCAAGCAGCACTTCTGTGAAATAGGGGATATGATATTTTAAGTGCAACTTCCCCTGGTATTATACTGGAATGAAATGAAACATTTAATTGCATGAACCATAAACTTCACATCTAAATATTTTCTTTTTGGCTTCATATTATTATTACTTGGTTTCAATTTTATTTATTTATTTTGATAGCAGCTAGTTAGTATGATGCTAACTAATGATACTGTCAACTCAAAGCACGTTATGCATTAGCCATGATATTTGTCATTACTTTTATCTATAAAGTTTTTTTGTACTTTTTTGTAAAGAAATTTACAAAATGTTTTCATTTTTGGAAATTTCTGCAAGTAGTATATTATTTTTCTACATGCATGAAATAGAGATTTGATTTAGTTTGGTATTTTATCACCTTAGTAAACTCTGAAGATTTCGAGAAATGGCTTTTCCCTTCTATGAAAAATGGCAAAGTTATGTATAAACTGCTCTTTAAACCACATATGGGCATTTTTTGTTCATTACTGGTAGTACATTCCTGGACATCCCAGGAGCAGGTGGAAGACAGCAAAGAAACTGATCTTGCATTCTTAATTTTCCCTAGATTCTTTCCTAAAAAGTGTCAACAGTCCTGAAAAGCATCCAGACTGGCACATTTGCTGTGGTATACTTTAATCTTCAGTAGCAGGGTGGACAGTCAGAAATGGTGGCCCTCTGCCATCTCCCAGGAGATAAGAATTGACATTCTATTCTGGTTTGTATATCTATGTGTGCACATGTGTGTATGTTATGCTCTAATCCAGATACGTTCAAGAAGGTTTTTTAAAAATATTCTATTGTGGATGCACACAGATTAGGAAAAAGTTTACATAAATAACATTTCAAGTGCTTTTCTTATTCTCGGGTATATGTAACATCAAAAACCAATGTGATTTTGATTGTGTTCTGTAGCTGCAAAAAAAAGGTGGTTTCTGTACTGTTTAGTTTTGCCACAAGTATTTTAATGAATCTAGTTAAAGCCTACTGTCATATTCTGTGTAGTGTCTAGAATACTTAAATCCTCAGAGCAAAAAGTTAGGCTGGTGTTACAGTCAAGTAATCTTTGCTTTATAGGCTACATGCCTGTCATTTCCCCTCTCAGTTCTTTATAGCTTGTTGGCTAACTAAAACCAAATAAAATAGAGTAATAAAGCTCTTCAAGATATCCTTTCAATTAGAGTACTGTAAGCATAAACCACTGCCAGATGCAGAAAAGTTTCCTTTAGACTCTCTCAGTGAAAGGAAAGATTGCAATATGAGCTGAATCATGTTTTTAGATCGGAGATAATCCACACAAGAATGCTTCACACTACACCACTCAAAATTTTTCAAATTGCTCCCCAGAATTATTTGTTCTGCTACATCTGACTACTGCTTCCCTGACTGGATCAGTGTAGGGAAATCCACTGTCAATTTCACTGCCATCATACAGTTCAGATTATAAAGATAATGAACTGAACTAATATATTTCTTTCTGGAATAAGAACACACTTGGAAAATACCTTTGGTGAAATCATGTCACACACACTTGCTTATATTAGCATTTTTCAACTCTTCGGATAAGGAAGATCATTTTCCGCAGATTTCTGTATCATTACCTTTGTATTGTAAATCTCCTACCATGTGGGAAAAACATTTTGCAACAAAGAGGAAATAGAAAAGAGGTCTAGAAAAAATGTAAATGTTTTCAGTCCAATCTATTGAATTTCCAGATTTTCTTCATGAACAGAAAGTGATAACTGAAGAGGGAAGACATCACTACTGAGAAATATCTCAGTATTTCTCAGTATGTCTCAGGAGCCCACAGAGCCCTTTCATGTAGAATCACATTATATCTGTACTAAATCAGTATGGTTATACTGAAGCCTAAGGATGAAAATGTCTCTGGGAAGAGAGGTAGATACTTTTCCTCTCTCAAGTCTGAAATGTACTACTGGTTTCTACAAATGTTGTGATAATCAAGAGAAGAGGAACTGTCATAAGGAATAAATGAAAAGAGAACAGATTTCAAGTGTTTGTCCTGACAACCTGGCAAATCTTTTCTCTTGGAGAAAAACATCTCACAAGGACTCATATGTAAATGTAAATATGGATGCTCAAGTCAATACTCCTAAAGTGCATGTTTATGTAAATGAAGAGTAGATTTGGTCACTCCTAAGAAAACAACACTGAGAGCTTTTGTTGCATGACAATGGGAAGGTGCACCCACAGATCAGCCGCAGCAGGTGTGTGCATGCTCTTTGACTACAGCAAGAAGTAATTCAATTTTGCCTAACCTTCTCTCACTTTACCGTAAAAAGTAAAATGACTCAGGATAGTTTGGAGAGTGTCAATAATTTGGGTAATTCTAAGTCTTTACTCTTTGCTCATGCTTCAACTTGTTCGTAATGCATCTTCTTTTGACAAGACAATATCTTCAAGATCTGTAAACCACTGAAAATTTTAGAATATTTCAGAAAAGAAAGAAAATTGCAATAAATTGTAGTTCAAGATTTTACCTGTCACTAGGTAAACATGATATGCAGTTTAGATTAGTAAATTGATTAAAAACAAAAAACAACAAAAAACCCCACTAGATTATAAAATGTAATGCACCAAGATCCTACAGGAATAAATGTAAGTGAAAGATACTGAACTTAGAACAGAAGCTGTAAGAGTGGTGCCTGACTTGGAGCTCAGTACTGATGCTGACTGTCCAATAAGAAAACGGTAGAAGGAGGCAATGACTGAAAGATTTTGCGTATATGTTCTCAAAGTGTGAGTCGAAAGACATACAAGTGGTTAGATATTTTTAAAGGCTTCTATGACTAACTTAACTAGGTCATGAATCTTTTTAAGGGGTATCTAAAGAGACAGAATCATGCAGGAGGACATCAACAGAAGATGCTAGAAGTGTGCAGCTCTGACAGCCAGTAAAATGCTGGAAGCTGTCTAGAGTATGTCTGAAATAAAATCTGCAACTAATATTTCTGAAACACATAAATCTCCAAGAAGCTGCCACATCAGGGAAAACTCATCATGTTATTTGTAGCACTGCAGAATGAGCTAGTGCTGAACACTGGAAATAGCATGTTTTGTACTTCTGATACGACACCGCAACATGTTGATGCAGAGACATATCTGTAGTAGACCTCTATGATATAAAAAATTCATACCTAAGAAAGCTCAGGGTGAAGGATATTATTTATACTCTCTATCCTTACTAACATAGTACTTCAAAATTCAAAAACATTATAAACCCCATATGTAATATAATTATACATATAATATAATCATAAGTTTTATAGAAAACTCTAGTCCACCTTACCTCTTTTGACTATACCCCTTCTCTGAAAATAAAGTTTTATTTTTCTTATGGCCTCAATGGGCAAGGTGAGGCATATTTATTCCCTTTCTATCCAAATGAAGGTGATACCAATTACCAAAGATGAATATATGAGAATGTAATTGTATATACAGTGTATGTGATAGACTGGATTCAACACAGCTTGAACACATGACTCAAGAGAGACTGAAAGATATGATAAATGCTTTGAAATTGGGTCCAATTCATTATGAAAGAGAAATTAATCATAAATTCAGGGCTATGAAATCTTACCAGCCACAGAACAAACCCCCTTAAAATGTCAATTTCCATTAAAAAAAAGGGGACATCTAATCCTTTTAATTCTCATTTGTATTTAAATAGCATTTAATTTTGATGCTTTCCATCACTGCTACTTCAATGTACTAAAGTACCAAATCTTTTTTTTTTTTTTTTTTTTTTTTTTTTTGTAGTTAACTTGCTCCCCCTGCCTTGTTCTTGAAGTAATGCTATCCTAGTGTTAGCATTACAACAGTATATTTCTGCACTGTGGGATGATTTAATAATATCTTGGAATAGTCGAAGAAACAAAGATGCATTTTTAAGTATACTTTTAGTATATCATAACTATAGTGTGAGCAGAAGTATAGGAAATTATTTTAATCTGATACTGAAATGCAGCATTCTGTAAGGAAAGTTCAAATGTAACAGTAATATGCCAGGCTAGGAGACTAGGTATCTCATAATCCTAGCAAAACTAGGAAAAAATAGTAAAAAATATCCTCAATTCTAGGTAACTTACTCAAGTCTTTAAAAATGGAGGGACAAAAACTGGATTTCAGATTAGAAAGCTTAGTGTAAAATAAGCTACTTCATGCTTCATTTAAATAAATCTAGTATGTGAAAATCCAAAGTAGTAAAGTAAAATCTTCTAGCACTGGAAAATTCTTCCCTCATTGTGATATAAGTCAAGAATTCATTTTTCCGATACCAATAAGAGTTGGATAATGACCCAGCTTACATGATCCAGTGGACAATATAAGACCTTTTGTTCTGCAATATCTTCTTAGACTTGAGTGGGAATGAAAATCTTAGTAGGCTGGAAGAATTTGTAGAATTTAACATCCACGCAGTAGATTTTTGTGAATATTAAGAAATGGTTGAGTGGCAGACTACAATAGCTGCAAGGTATTTACTGCTGAGAGTATGATGCATTCCTTGCAGACAAGGAGCAGAGTCAGCTGTTAAGCTTCACTAACAGACCAGAGAAAACTCTCTGGGACATATAGGTGAGGATCAAGTCCCAGCTTCTTCAGTTTAGTGCGAAACTGTCTACTGTGCAAAGATAGCCAAACCTGTAACTCTACCTTTAAGACCAGAAAGAAACCAAACAATTCAGAGAAGAGGTTATATTTAGATACCCCAAAAGTTAAGGTGAGATTGAGGAACAATTGTGCTAATCTGGACCAAAAGAAAACTTCTGCTGTTCAAAAGGAATTCTATACAATGTTTTTTTTTTCTTCTTTTTTTTTTCTTTTTTTCTTCTTTCCTTTCTTCTTACCAATAGTGAAGAAACCAGAGGCATAATAAAATAATAATAATTCTAGTACAATTGATGGAGTGAGTTTGAGAAACTGGATGTAGCCCTCTCTGAGCCCTCTCTGTCATACTGATTTTATTCTTTCTGAATACCAACTAAATTTCACTGATTTTCTGGGGCAAATGGTGCTCAAATTATGAACCCAAGGGGAGTAATGAATAAGATTTTTTGAATGTGTGTGAAGAGGAAGACAGGACTAATTAGGTATTAAAAACACATTACATTAAATTACATTGCATTAAAAACAATTATGCAATTACGTGAAAGTACAAAATTTGTTAAATACGCTATGAAACCGAATTAAAAATTGCAAGACCATTTCAGGGAAATTCTTAGCTGCAATCAGGACTTAAGTTTTTATAATGGTGGAAAGAGTTGGGTTTGATTTTAAACCAAGCAAATCATGAGGGAGAAACAGTCACTGGCACTAAGAGAATTTGCAGCAATGTGTGTAGCATTGGGTATTTCATGGTGGGCACATGCAGACTCCTGACTCTAGCTAAGGGAGTACATGGGTCTTGGTGGTTTTGAAGTTCCTTGCTGCCCACCAGGAAAACCAGCAACCTCTCTGTTCTTACCAAACAGTTCCCTGTGTCTCTTGGGCATGTTTCACATACTGCCTGTCACTGCCCTGTACTTGCTCTCCTTTTTCTCCCTGTAGGATAACAGCACTTGTCCAGGGAAGTGGTGGAGTTACCATCCCTGATGGTGTTCCAGAAATGTGTAGATGAGGCACTGAAGGACATGGTTTAGTGCATGGTGGGGATGATTGGACTAGTGGTCTTGGAGGACTTTTCCAAACTTAATGATTCTACAAAACTATTACACTTTTCTTTGAAGTCAAGTTCTCTTTCCAGCTCAGCTTCAGAGAGGAAATCTTTCCAGTTATATATAAGTACATTTGAAAATTTCCACTTTGACTATCAATTAACAGATAGTCATTGAGGTTGGGTTCCCATAGCACACATCAGTTTTTAGGCTGAGAAGTTCTCATAGACTTCAAAATTCCACGGTAATTTTCTCTGCTTTCTCCATACAAAAAAAAAAAAAAAAAAAAAAAAAGCTAAAAATAGTGCACAGTGTGTTAGGCAGGGATTTCTTTACCAGTGATATTAAGATCAAGAACATATGTGGTGTAGAAGCACTGAAGATGACCAGCTGTGCTCTCAGTCTGTTAACAAGAATAAACCTTCAGCTTTAGGCATTCTGGTGTACAGGTTGCAAAGTAATAAGATATGTGGAAGAAATTGAAATATGAAATTGGATAATGTATTTAATTTACTGTACTAATAGGCAGCAGTCTAGTTAAAATGTTGCCAAACAAGCATATTTAATATTTGCTGTGGTGATTTATACCGGGGATAAATTAATTTTCAGAGAACAGTTACATCTGGGGATGGGAAAAACAAAGTAAAAGTCAAAAAAATTACTGCTTTGTCCCATTTTTAAGGAAGATTAGATTTTTAGAATTGTATCAGAAGAGACAAATCCATTTAATTTTTCCATAATAAGCCATGCCAGTGTTTCCTCTTTTCCTTGTCACAAGCAGATTGCTGCAATCGCCATTCTTGCCAAGAAACAGACTCATTGGAACATTTTTCAAAAAAGAACACAAATATTGGATGAATGCAGGTGGAATAAATTAATTACAAGCATATGGTTCTAACGTAATTATTTCTGCAGTGTAGTGTCGAGACATCTAAGAATCCAGCTATATGATACACCCTGGCAACAAAGCTGCTTTAAGAAATTATCATGGACATAAATGTTTGTTGAGTCAGACTTAGTGAAATGATTCAGACAGAATACCGTGCCACACACACATTTCTAAGACATTTTTTAAACTAGCCCATGGCAATGATGTGGTTTATACTGTTTATCCAGTTGTGCTAGCACAAGAGAACATGGCATAAAGCATGCACAGAAGGCAGGGACTGGGAGCATCTTTGAGGAAAAAGCACTTCTTAGGTCAGCTTCACACAGTTAACTGCTCTATGATAAGCCAGTCTGTATCAGCTGCATTTCAAGTCTGAAAGTCATTTTGCAATAGAGACAATCAAAATGTTACTGGCTAGCATTGACCCCTGTCCAGTTCCAGTCTCCTCTACCAGTGTAAGGTATCACTCTCTACTCTCTTATTTGGTAAATGTGTGAAGTAGATTAATGAAAAGGTTGGAATTAGAGAAAGAAAGTTAAAGAACAGTCTCTTAAAAAAAAAAAAAAAAAAAAAAAAAGAGGAAAAAGAGCACAGGTCAACAAAAGAACTCTGCTACAGGCAAGAAGAAGCAGGGACAGTGGACAGCCCATGGAGACAGCCCTTTGCCTGGAATAGCACAATAATTTAGATCAAACTGACAAAAAACAAACAAACAAACAACAACAACAACAAAATCCAACAAAACCAAAACAGTGTCTTTTCTATAATCCAGCAGATGGTGCTATGATGCAATAAACTGGTTAAAAAATAAGTACAAGAAATATGAGAAAAGTGAACCTTTTGCTCCTTTACCTGGTGCTGCTGCTTTTTTAGTAGCTGGAGAAGCTGCAGGGGCTTTTGTTGGCTCTGAAAAACAAACCAAACAAAACAAATTAAAACAATCACTACAAACTGGTATAAAAAACAGAAATGTGAGGAAAGGCTTCCAGTGAGGCACGTACAGCCTGCAGTAATTTCTTCACTGAAGAGTCGGACAAAGAGATTACCCAAAGAGAAGTGAGCAGAGCTGCTCTCAAGTAACTCAAAGGCATCAACAAAATGGGCAGGAGTAGTAAGCTTTTGTCATAAGACACTGAATCCCTTCTTTTATCTGGTTCTACTGAATTATTCCATATTCACTGGCAAAGCACAGAGTGGTGGGTAACCAAGGCTTTGGGCTGGGCCTCCCCACCCAGGCAGCTGCTGGGAGCAGAGAGCCTCCATGTCTGGTCTTGCACCTGTGTGAGCAAGGGCTCCTGAACTAGACGGCAGAAGCTAGTATTGTCCTTAGCAGAGTGGCAGATACAGAGTGGCACCTCCTTGGTTCCCACAGCTATTCAAACTGCTATCCATTCCCCTAATCCGAATCTCTCCCTGATGGAAAAACAACAGCAACAATTGCACTACCTCTGCAAAGTACGTCCACATAGGCATGGAGGAATCTTGACAATGATGAACAAGAGGGAACAATTTCATGTGGTTTGGTACTGCATTTGAAAAAGTAATTGCCTGGTTCTTCTAGGGAAGCAGGGCTACTTAGCTTGTGCTTGTTTGTTGTTCTCATAAAACATTTGCATTATCTTCTCTATATTGAGGTAGAATATTTCCTTGCGGAAAGAAGTCCCAAACAGGGAACACAGCACATAGATTCCCAAAGCAGACATGAAGAATCTTAACCCTGTGTAGAAGAACCTGAAATGCCTTCTAGATTTATTTACTCTTTAGTGGTGTTTAATTAATTCTTTTTATCCTCAGGAACTGAAAATAGACAGTACTTAAACCAGTATAAAATAATAAATTTCTATAAGTTAACTCCAGATTTTCATATCAACCAGAAGATCATCTAACTTAAAATTCGCATTTCCATATTTTGAGAGGAAATAATTAATCATTTCCATCACAATCTGTATTACTGAATGTCAAAAAAATGTTAGTTAATCCTTCACATCTGTCAAGAGTTATTACCAAGAAAAAGAATGTGGTTATCAGGAATGCAATCTTGAGTTATTCCCCTCCAGTCTTTTGAGAACTTCATAGAAGATATATCAGATTGTCTTGTGAAACAAAATATGAAAATAAAATATAGTTTTGCATGTGTGAGATTGTTTTGTTTCCATCCATATAAAAATCTGCAGCGGATAGTTACATCCTAACTTATTTATTATCATAGTGTTGTAACTACTTGGGGTGCTCACTCCTCCTTCAGAGGAATATGTAGAAAACCTTGAAGAATTCTCCTAAGGACTACTTTCCTGAGTACCTGTTCCTGCAGAAGAAACAGCAGACACAGTATGCATGTTACACAATTGTCTAGGTGGATTTCATAGAGAACTGCAGGACTCCTGCATCTATTCCTTCTGAGCTCTCAGCTAGAACTTGTTGACCAACAAGACTTGATTTTGGTTTTCATAACATCTGTGAAACAAATTAAGTTATATTCTTTTTGCTCTGTTATTATTATTTTTTTTAATTTACATTTGGAATACTTTGTTTGGAGCAATTTTTTTTTTTCAACAGTAAGTTTTGTATATTACTTATTTACATTCTCACTAATGTTGAAACAAAGTACCAAAAGTTTTCAACTTTTTTATTGTTTGGAAGTATATGCTTTTTAGTTCCTAACTTACAAATTATTTCTGTGCTTGGATTTTGCCTATTTATGTGAAAAATTTTCAGATGAAAATAAGAATAGTAGGGGATTCTTCTGCCATAAGGCTAAGAACATTGTAGTAAGTATTGTATATAGCATCTGGAGTTAGTGCATTCTTTAATCTTGAACTTGTATGAGCTTTCGAAGTCCCATAGTTGCAGAGCAGAGATAAGAGCAGATGAAATCTTGTCTGTGTACCAGTGTAACTATGTCATACTATTATTACTGTACTGAGGCATTGATGCTTATGGTTTTGTTGAAGAAAAAGGTCTAATTATTCCCTTGTTAACAATGCCATGTTCCCAGAGCAATTTTGTTCTTTATGCAGAAGAGCCCAGCCCCTACCTCTCTTGTGCCTTTAATGTTCCCTTTCCATATTTGTGATAACTAGATGGGCAGGCAGGACTGTGGTTTTGCATTTGTGAAGATAAATTTGACGATCCTTTGGCACACCAGACTTTCTGTCTTCTCAGCCCATTTACCAAACTTGCTGCCACTGAGAGCATGTTCAGCTGAGAACTCATTTGACATATTCTTCCCCATGAAATCTTTGTTTTCAAAGACAGTGACAGAAAGGAGAGGAAGGCAAAACTGTCAGTCACAAAGAGAAATGTGAAAATAGAAGTAGAATAAGAATGGTTTCAGGTAGCAGGAGGCAACTGAAAACTAGACTTGTAATTTTTCAATTATAAATGGTGTAGCTACTATATTATTTGTGATTTCTACAATTCAATAACAATTACTGTGGATTATTGAAATGTGCTGTTTGAAACATGTAAAAGAGATCATAACCTAATGCACAAGTAGCATCTTACTTCTGAGTTCTTTGGTCACAGCAGCTTCTTTTTTATCTGTCAGAAGAAAAGAAAAGAAAAAAAAAACAACATATGCATTAAAACTTATATAGGCAAAAAGTATATAGATGAACAGAAAATTTCAGCTCGTGCTTTATTGTTGCAAAGTGCATTTGAATGATACAGTGAATCATTTATTTTCTGTTTCACGGTGAAGTTGTACTAATTTAAATGCAAGTGTAAATGTAACAAATCTGTGTGAAGGTGTATATTTATTTTCAATTTAGTGAGATTCAATATATGGTCGAATTACAATGGCATACATGTACTAACTGAGCCATGGCTGCATACCATGTGCACATTCTCAGGTTTTAGAAATGTAAGGGAAGAACAGAGTTGAACAATTAAAAGCATTAGTCTCCCTGCCACTGTTGACACCATGCAATTGACGCCTAGTTTGGAAGGCTCTGCTCAGTCCTAGCCAAAACTAGTCGCCATATGCTTCCCACATATCATAACAAATCAAAGATTTAAATCTAAAGAATAAAGAGACAAAGCATCTGAGATGTCCCTCCAGTCCAGTCTGAAAGATTGCTGCTAGGATAGGAAGAAGAGATGCATGTAATAATGGTAGGGAATGCTTCTTTGAGTGCTCACGAAGGGAAGTACATCCTCTCTAATAATTAACAGGGTGCCTAGAATATAAGCAGGATAGTCCTTCTGACCACAACATACCAGTGATAAATCAATTTTGCTCTTAAGTACTAAAACAAGAAATACTTCAGGGTAGAAGCTGCCAAAACAAGTAGCTTTCAAAACCAAGATTTGTGTTATTGATCACAATATAAACTTACTTCAATTTCACAGCTCGCAAAATTACTGTGAAATAGCTGATATGAGATAAAAAAATGCAAATGACTGCCAAGTATTCTAATAAAAAGTCTTCAAAAATTCAATGCAAAACACATTCCATTTTGGGTTATACGCTGCTCTGAACTGAAATGTTTCTAGGTTAATCCTCAGCTTCCACTAACTCTCTATGAAAGCATGTTTTGCAGGCATTACTTCAAAGTATGATAATTACCACATTCAGATGAAATTAATCATGAAGCAGCTTTCAGCCACGTTATCTGGCTAAGAAGCCTATTGAAGCCTTAAAGAAGTGCCTATAGGTTGCCAGATATGGAAATCTTAAAAGGTGTATATTGCAGTGATATGAATCATTTATCACAATAATCTTCTGTTGCTGGAGGATATAAAAAAATAAATAAATTGGCAGCACCATTTACAATAACAGACAGGATCTAAATAGAGCCCTCAAGCTCATTCTTTCCTTCTTTCATATAAGTCATCAATTATTAGGACAACATATTTTAATATATTCTCAAGACATAATTTATGTTAAAAGAATTAATGTGATTTTTCCATTTTTTGAAATACAAAATATATACTAAATTTATGTAAATATCTGGACAGCCTTTCTAGTAAGATCTTGATATTTTTTTTTTTTTTGAGAGCAGAAAAATTAACAACAGCTGATTTTAATGACATTTGATGATAAAAAATGCAAATGCTTTTATTCTTCTCTTCATGCCAAGATGCCTAAACTTAGATTCCTAACGCCATACTTACGCAAGTAAGATTGAACGATTTACAGAAAATTGTCTAGAGAAGGTTTATTAGGACCCTGATCTACAGGGATTGTCTGATGGTATATAACATTTACATCCAGACACATCACACTAGATTTAAATAAATGTTAGTAAATTAATGCTATTTAAAAAGAACTGAATAATTGGTCAATCTCACAGGAGGCATAACTTATCTGACTTCTGAAGTCCCTAAAAGTAGTTGCTTGCTGTAAGTCACAAACTGTAGATAACTAAGCTAAAAAGTAGTAAATAGCTGAACAATTAGTTATATTAGGGTAATTAAAATTGGGGAGCTTTTTGCCTTATTTGTTTTTGCTTTGCAAATGTCTTGGTTTTACCTTTTTAATTAAGAGACAGTATATGTGGTTGGGGAAGGAAGTTTGTATTACAACAGGTTTTCATAGTAATTATTTTTTTCTCAAAAACAACTACAAAAGCAACAAAATCTCTCTGGTATTTCTACTACCTCATTAATGGTTCTGTTTTTCAGGTGAATAATGAAGAGGAATTTCTGGAAAAAGTTATCTTATTTCAAACATCACTTCTAGGCATTATATAAACATTATCCTTAACAGTCCTTGCCAGTCAGCCTGGGATGATAATCTCCAGAGCTTTAGGTCACTTTCTTTTTAAAGATTCACATCTGAAATCTTGCAACTGAGAAGGTATACGTGTGTCATGAGAATTATGCCTAAACTTATTGGAAGCAAACTAACATCATTAAGACATACATAGAATACGAAGGGAAATATGGTTGCTCTAGTAACCTTGACTAGAAATGCAGTCAAAGACACTGCAACCACTAGTATTGGTGACTGAACTTCTTGATATACGAAAGCAAGGAATTCACTTCTACTGCAGTGTAAATAAAGCAATAAATAAATTTTAATAGACTGTGGGGACTCACTACAAGAGATGGATGAGACTTCACAATCCAACCTTCTTGCACATCAGTACCAAAACTCAAGAGTACTCTATTTTTAGGAGTTGCTGAAGACCTATTTTATATTTATGTCTTCTTGAAAAGTTTGCATAAATAATCCACTTACTCAGAGGTCCAAAAGCATTGGACTGCTCTAGACATTGTTTTTTTTTGCAATAGGCTTTATGGGAACTGTGAGGTCACGGTTTGAACCAGTGATTGAGCACCTGGTGAAGGGGCATAGCCAGCAGATGGTAGCAATTCACCTTTGTGACTGGAAGGCTTTCCTTTTCTAACCTCATTTAAGAGCTGGCAGCCACACTAGAAGCAGCTTTTCTTGGAGATTGCTTTCCTTGGAGTGTTTGGAAAACTCTGCTCCTTAGAAAGGGATATGCAGTTCATTCTTTATTACCGGATTGTGACATCAACCTTTCTTGGGTGATCCTAAAAGCTGATTTAAAGCAACTACATCTGCTACTGCTTATCTTTATATATGCTATAGCTAACAAAATTATTTGTTAGCTGTAGAGAACTGTGGAGCATTCTTTTCTGTTTGCAGAATTGTTTGAAGACAGTTATATTCTTGTCTACGTTCTCAAAAAGTGAATATGATTTTACAAGGTCTGCTCTTCTGATATGAATGAACAGTATTTTTTTTACCTGCTCTTGACGAATGCTAAAGAATAGTGAAAATCTTCTTTTTTAATTAAAAGACACCAAATATTTCAACAAACACGATCCAACTCTGTTGTTATCTGCACAGAGTAAGTGGATCAGTTTTGAATTCAAACTAGGAATGAGCATCTGGCAGCCAGCATAGATGTAGCACAGTGAAATAGAAAAAGCAGTACTCTATTCTTTTTCCTCTTTTAGCACATAGCTATGTCTTTTCCTCAGGCCTCAATCAACATTCTTTTGAAGTAAACTATCAGTACACAGTATTTGCAAATGATATCTAAACTACACGAGGCAAGAAAAAAATCACATCCCTTTAAGAACATATCCCTTTAAGCTCAATAGCACCTTTCATGCCATTCAGTCCCTAGGAGGTTCATAATAAGCTATTAGGCAAGGGTGCCCCAGCACTCTACTACTGGGTATAGCTGCTTGAGTTTAAACAAATCCTGAAAATATGGTATTTCAAACATTGGTCTGATATGATTTGTAGGTCTAAGGTTCAAACAAAATTTTGGAGATTTTGCAGTAGACTTGCTATACAACGTCTATTGTACATTTGGGAATAGCAGTAGAAATTGGACAGCTTTGTTCAATCTGTAATCTCTCTATATAAACATCAGCTCCGGAAACTAAATGGCTTTCAAGTTTTACTCTCTGGAAAGGTTTCTCTGTGTTTTTTCTTTCTTGAAAATGTTCTCTAATATGTTTAATGGAACAAAAAAGTCCTAAATTAAAGGTATTCTTTAGATAAACTAATGTTTCAAAGAAAATACATGGACATCTTTGCTAATGCTTCACTGATTAAAATAGCTGCTAGAACCTTATCAAAGAATATGACAGTAATATCATATTTACAGACAGAAACTAATTTCAGCATCATTTAGTAACCACAGTGTCTGAATTAAACAGTAGATAATATCCTAATCAAACATCATGTAACTCAGCAGGTAAGATTCAGAATGCAAGACTTCTGAGGCTGATCTGAACAAAGCACCAAGACCCCAGGGAATTACTAGATACTTCTGAAAAACATGGCTTGCTAAATCAAAAACGGAAGGAGGAACTCTCATCTTACACCTCACTTATCAGTGATCAGCTGCCTTTTAGCTGATGATCATATACAAAAATGGATTTATCAAACAATGTTTGTTGGCTAACAGTCTATGATTACCCACAGAAAAACAGTTTTATAATGAAGATGCCTTACAAAATATGACCAGTAGTACCACCGGCTGTCTCAAAGATTTCCAGTAAGTCTTACAGAAACTTGCTTGTCCTTGCTTGTTTTATATGATTTATTTTGATATAGGTGTTCATTTAGTTTTGTAATTAAAAATAGGAGAAGAAAAAGAATAGAAAAATGAGCACAGGAATCTCTAGAATTGGGGATAATCATCTTGAAAAAATCATATTTTCCAAAGTGCTGTATATCCACAGTAAAAATCTTTTGGTCTTATTGACCGAAACACAACTGAGAGCACACATTAGAATTTTGGTTTTTGTTTCACAGATGGAGTACAATAGCAGAGTTTTAAGATAGTGCACCTCCAAAATGTGACAGCTAACACTCCCTTTGGAGTAATGCTCACAAGAGGAAATTTTGTTAGCAGGTGGCATTTGATCATTGAGAATTTCCATCATGTGAATGATATACATAATTAAAGTCTCTTAGAGACCAGTCTCAGTACAGTCTGCTCTCAAGCTAGCAGATGTACCAGAATTCAAAAACAACTTATTATGTAGAAAGATTTGCAGTTAATGTGATTTAGGAGAAAGACACCCTAGATGGATGAGTATCATGAAGTTAATAATGAACTGCTATTGAACACATAGTAGTTAAATAATCATTTTAAAACCTTCAAATATATTGAGATGTATTATAGTTAAGCATTTCTTTTTCTTTTTTATTTACTAGAAGTTATAAAATGTCTTTTTTTCCCTACAAAACAGTAAAAATTTCAAGTACAATTCTGACACTGAAAATTGTTTACTTCTGAACTTCCTCTTAAAATTGATAACTCCATTGCTTTCTAATTTATACATATTTGATGATATTTTAACTCAAATTTTATAGTATTAACAAAGTCACTATCATCTTAACCATATCTCGAAGTTTTGGGGTGCATTAATTTTTATTTTAATTTCAGTCACTGAGAAAATGTATCCCTGCTAATATTAGCAATTTTTCAGAGTGTCTGAACTTTCTGTTTTAAAGTGTATGTTTTATGATAATGTTATTCAAAATGTCATATCAAGGAGAATTAAAATAATATTGTTTTTTCTTTTCAGTGGAATCAATAACTAGCAAGACTATCTAAATTGCACTTAATAAGAATCCTTTCTTAACATGCTTTTCTGAAATCGCTATTAGCATAAAATAATTGTTCAGAAATACCAATACTTCGCCCATGTGGAAGATTCTGTCTTTGTACTAGAACTTGGTTTTGTTCCCTTCTTTATTCATTGGGCAAGATACCAACATATGTTGCATGACAATTACTGAAAAAGATTCTTCTTGATTCTCCAAAATGTTTTTGGTGTGAGAAATTCTAACATCTTTGTAGTCTTCTTGACTGCTTTGTAAATATACAAAAAAAGTATCTGAATAATCATAGAATAGAAGTAAAGAATCATATTAACACAGTAGTAGTAGACCCAATAGCTACCCCTTCTGCAGAGTTCAGGAAATGTTATATGGGGAGGTCAGTAAGTATAGAGTCTCAGATGGCAGGATTTGTGTCTAAACCTCTCCAGGCAGGACAGCAAGAGAGGGAAAAGTGCAGAAGACATTACTGTTTCCAGGTAGAATCTAGAGGACATGGAGCTACTATCAGGTAAATTCAAGGTCTCTGAAGTGACGTGAGACTAAACTATAAGAATGACAATGGAGAAAAAAACGTGAGATAAAAAAGAGTTTGAAGAATTTAGGTTTATGAAAAAGCTGATAACATTCTTGGTGATAGCACTTCTTTAAAATTCTGACAGATCATTAAAATTTATTTCACAGATTGTTGTGGAAGGGGTAATTTTATATTTCTGTCTTGGGTATTTTAGAAAAAGTACATATTTAACATAAAATAAATTGCTTTTAAGCACCTCTTAATGAATAATCAAATATTTTATCTCCTTTACTCTACACAAGAAACATATTTCCTTGCGAAAAGAATGTTAAGATATTATCCATTTATTTTAAATAAAGCCAACAGTTAAAACCTGGAATGTATCAGATAACCTAGAAGATAATGGATAAGTTATTTATAAATAGAATTTTGATCTTCATATTTTATCATTACTGGCTTATTATCTAAACATAGCTGAACAATGATTTAAAAAAAACAAAGTTTTAAATATAATTCAGAGTAGCTGGGTACCTGTATCCTTGTACCACCATATGTGACAAAGGAGTCCTGATTTCACCTCAAAGAGATTTCTCAAGATTATTTGAAAAAATTTCTTTCAAAGGCTCAAAAAATGTTGAGAGTCATAAGCAAACAAGTGATTCATCTGCATTTGTAGTAAGAAACATTCTGCACTTTGGGAACAGCCGACTTCCACTGTACCAGTGACTCATGGTTCCACTAATTACTGATTTCTCCTTTCTACTTTATAATTGCTGGAATGGATTCTGTTTCCCCCACTGCAATGCAGGTGCAGACATGTTCTATTGCCTTCTGAACTCATCAGGAATGATTTAAAAAAGCAAAACTCTGGAGCACGATATGAAAGCACAGTCATCCGTACACAGGAAGATGTAAGTGCACTTAATTACACATGCTGCAGTCATTTAGGGAAAAAGTAATGATTTTATGTAGCATGTGTAGGCAATAACATTAATTCCTAAAATTTCAGAGTCAGATCTTTTCCTGGAATAAACTGGCATTTGAATTAGTGGAAATGTAACAGCTGAAATTTTTCTTCAAAATTTTTACTTTTTCTTGAAAAAAGATGGGGAATATATGATCTGTACAACTTTCTCAAGAAAGGTCTGCACCAATACTTTCTGAGTTAATCACAAGAGGGTTTTTTTAGTCATAATGGGCTTTGTTAAATGTATACATGCTATGCATCCTTCTGATGCATCTTTACTTGTTAACACATTTCAATTTCTTCCATATTGTCAGATAAAGGGCTGCGCAGATAGCATCTGTAGACATAAGATACAGATATATTTTACTTACAATAAATGAGAACAAGCAAGGCCATTGGAAACATTTATTGTAAGGTTAAACAACCTTAACTAGGAGTAATGCACAAAGGATGCCATATTATAAATCATGGATACTATCAGTCTATGAACTTTCCTAAGAGAAAAGCATCCAAGGGATGGAATTACACTTTGGAAAATGTGTCGTGGAAGACTTTATCAAATATGTATTAATTAAAACCTAGTATAAAAAAACTAAGTCCTAATTTCAGGGTCAAAAGAATACAATTTTTTTTTGTTTAAAAACTGAAGTGAAAGAAAAGAACAAAATCAGCCTTATCCAAAATGCCACAGATTTCCACTAACTTTATTTAGATCTCCACAAAGCCTTCAATTTTTCCTTTGAACAACAGCAGAAATTTTATAGCAGTGTGTAGGTATGTCATCACCACCTGATGATGTGTCTGTGCATAGGTGTTTCACATATAACGATTATCTTAAACATCAGGCCTGCTGACTCAGATGTACACCTTATTTTAAGGGAACAGATCTGTTTCCCTACATTTAAAAGATTAACTTTTTGTTGTTTGAGGTATGTTCTAATCCTGTTATTTCTGGATGTGACTGGAAAAATAAGAACTACATTAATCTCTCGACCAACATAAACAGAGTTGATGCAGTAAATTAGATTCTTTAATTAAAGCTATGCCACCCAGCTGCTTGCATGACCCAGGTACTTTGTACACATCTGAATGTCCAAAGGCAAAATGATTGTTTGGTTACCTGTGTGGTATTTAGATTGAATGTCACCCTCAAGTTTGATATGTATTCTGTTATCTAGATTTCTTGTATTGTCTTTCTCCAAAACCTTCTTTACAATGACACTGCAGAAAAGATGCTAAAATGACTTCTCTGCTTTACTCAAAGAATATTTTCTTGTTATTTAATCAAAAAGTGACTTTGTAGTTTAAATCCAGGCTTCCTCCTCTTTGTCTTTATTTACTGAAAGTCTCATATTTCTAATTCTTTGCCAGCAAGATATTACCACCATTTTCCTTTATCCTTCTTTGTTCAGTTGTAGTCAAAGATGGAAAAAAACAAGCACAGTGAAACATGCCCAGGCTGAGCAAAATTCAGCGTAGTTTAGAAAGCACTTAACATATGGGCATTAGTAAAGGCTGAACCACTGAAAGGTGCTTGAAGTTCATTCATCTGCTGCT